GGGGAATGGTCATATAGACTTCCTCATGCAAATCTCCATGCAAAAATGCATTATGTACATCCATTTGATGTAACTCCCAATGTTTAATAGCAGCAACAGCAAGAAATGCCCGTACAGTCACCATTTTAGCAACTGGAGCAAATGTTTCCGTATAATCCAAACCAGCCACTTGTCGATTCCCAAAAATAACAAGGCGAGCTTTAAGACGTTCAATGGTGCCATCAGACTTGTGTTTGACTTTATAAACCCATCGACAGCCCAAAGCACGTTTTCCAGGGGGCAAAGGAACAAGACTCCAAGTAGAATTATTTTCAAGAGCCTGAATCTCGGCTCGCATGGCTTGACGCCATCCTTCATGTTTAATAGCCTCGTGGAAAGAGCTGGGCTCTGTAACCGAATTAAGTGCTGCTAGAAAAGCTCTATGTTGTGAGGAAAAAGAATCACAAGTAACGTAATGAGTTATAGGGAACGGCGTACCTGAAGAGGATGTCGGTCCGGAAGAAGCGGGGAATGGACTGTTCTTTATGATAGTATGCGTAACAAAATCTCTAAGCCGAACCGAAGGCACACGTGTACGCTCTCCCCGGCGCAAGACTTGTTCTGGCTCCTCTTGAGAGGAATTGTGCACCTCTTCTACCGTGGCTGAATTCCCTGAACTCACAAGCTGCTCTTCAGAATGCTCCTGGCCCACTGGTAACGTGGAATCCTCCTGGGTTGAAGGTATGCTTACGTGTTGTTCATCATTTTGGTCAAGAAGAAAGTAATCATTCCAAGTCGTGGGAACTACGTCGGGCAAAGAAGCATGTTGTGGATTTTCTGGGACAGATGGCGTAGAAGCAAACGGGAAAATTTGCTCAAAAAATTTTACATCCCGAGAGACAAAATATTCTCGGGTTTCAAGATCAAAAACCTGCCAACCTTTCTTCCCGAAAACATATCCCACAAAGACACACTTTCTGCTACGGCTCACAAATTTGTCTCCCTTTGTCTTCATATTAAAAGCATAGCACAAACACCCAAAGACTCTAAGAAAGTTATAGCTCGGAGGTGTCCCAAATAATAACTCATATGGTGTTTTATAGTGATGAATAGCAGATGGTGTCCGATTTATTAGATAAGCAGCAGACAATACACACTCTCCCCAAAAAGAAATAGGCAAATTTCCCTGAAATCTTAACGCCCGTGCAATATTTAAAATGTGTCTGTGCTTGCGTTCTACACGCCCATTCTGTTGAGGAGTTCCAACGCAAGAAGTTTGAAAAATAATCCCACTAGTACGGAAAAAATCTTGCAAACAATTGAACTCAGTTCCGTTATCACTTCTCACGCGCATAATTTTCTTAGAAAACTGGCGTTCTACCATAGCAACAAATGAGAAAAACATTTTGCAAACTTCCCTTTTATCAATAAGCAGATAAACCCACACAGCACGTGAATAATCATCAACAATAGTCAAAAAATATCTAGCTCCACAAGAAGAAGGGGTATTATACGGACCCCATAGATCACAGTGTATCGTCTCAAAAATAACATGAGTTTTATTCAAACTAGATGGAAATGGATCTCTTGTCTGTTTTGCTCTAAAACAAATATCACAAGGAAAGTTTCCAAAATTTTTCTGTCCACTTACGGGAGCTAATTTTTCAACAATATGAGAAGCAGGGTGTCCTAATTCTTTGAATCCTTAACTGCCAGTGCCAGTGCTGCTAGTTCCTCCCGCAAGTAATACAGTCCATTCTCCCGTTCACCCGTTCCAATCAGCCTCTTCGAGTGACGGTCCTGTATAACACACAAGTTACTCGTAAATTGAACGAAACAATTTAAGTCAACACTTAGTTGAGACACAGAGATAAGGTTACATTTCAATTGCGGAACAAATAGCACATTATTCAAATATAAATTATTTGTAAAATGTACTCTTCCCTCCAAAGTGGCTAACACTGTCTGTCCATCAGGTAAACCAACCGTGCATGGGTCAACACTTTTAACATGAGACAACAACATTCGATTTCCACACACATGATTAGTGGCACCGGTATCAATAATCCATGCACTATCATTAAATTTACCTGCCATTCGTTCATTATTAGAGACTGAGTTACCAATCACAGAAAGAAGTGAATTCCACTGCTCTGCCGTGAAGCCCGGGAGAGGGATGTTTTGCTCGCTTCTTCTCCCTTCATCCTGCTTGGGGTTCTGCCTTGGGTTCTGCTTGTTTGAATTAGTGCTGCTTTCGGCCAGAGCTGCATGAGCTTTTGCAGCCGGCCTCCCTCTTCCAGCTCCAGGATTCGCTGCCCCGCTTCCAGTACCACGGCCTCGCCCTCCAGTTTTAATTCCCGGTCGAGGCCTATCACCCCACCAATCCGGATAACCGTTAAGCTCAAAACAGTTTGTGATTTCGTGTCCCGAATACTTGCAATATGTGCATGTCAATCCACTTTTATCCACCTTAATTCCTCGGCCTGCTCCCTTTCCTTCTGCCCGAACCGCGAACCCCAGGACTTCTGGCCTCTCCTCTTGTGCCTGCACAATACCTCGCACACGTTCTTCTTGCGCCATTTGCTGATAAGCCCGATTGAGTGTCGGCAATTCAGTTTGAGTCAACAGGTTGGTTCGAACACCTCCAAAGAATTCTGTGTAAATTCCCATGAGAAATTGATGAAGACGCTCCGATTCCCTTCTCCTTTCATGCTGACCGAGTACATCGCAAGTGCACTTGTTACATTTACATCGGATTAAAGGTTCGTAATTGTTTAACTCATCCCATAAGGTTTGTAATTTTGCATAGTAAGTTCCGACTGACATCCCTCTGGTTTGAGCACACCTAGCCAAGTCCGTTTTCACTTGATGTATCTTCGGACCATCAACCGACCCGAACCGTTCTTTGAGATCATTCCACAGACGCAGAGCATCTTCATAGTGAGATAAGGTTCCCTTGACTTCTGGAGATATTGTATTTAACAGCCAAGATACAATCATGGAGTGATTGACCATCCAATACTCCTCGGTGCAAGGCGGCGCTGGTTTCTTCAATGTTCCGTCGACGAAAATATACTTTCGTCTTGCCCGGAGAGCCAAACGGACGACGTTCGCCCATTCCTCGTAATTGGTAGTTGTTAAACGGACCGGAGTAATAAAGTCACCCGGCCTATCTTGAGGTCCCAAATAATATGGAGAGGTGTAATCGATCTTTACCTCCGACGTTGATCCATCTTCTTCCGTCGACGACATGGCTGCGATATTTCAATAGCCTGTCTCTGATACCATGAAAACTTTGTATACGTAAGGCATAATGAAGAAGAAATATTAGGGTAAAACCGTTGTTCAGTTTTTCTCATAGCCAATCGGCCAAATAAATACAAGATGGATGCCGATCAATTAGGATCGGTCATCATAAACAAAGGCCAAAAATAACAAGAATAAAAATGGAAACAATATTATTCTAAAATATTATCAATACATACAAACAGAGAAAAAACCTCTGTGGGGGGGGGGGGGGGGGGGATTTTACATAAATGGCTTGGCTAGCAAAGCAAACCAGTTTGGATACACCACAGCTCCATGTCAACAAAATTTTCCTTAAACAGACTGATGCAACTCCACCATTAGGGAAAAGCCAAAGCGAGAGTAATGATTGGGTCATTTGAATCCCAGTCTAAGGCTCAAACCTTGAGTCCCCATCCATCATCCAGGTCCAGGTCCATGTCCATTAAACCTTTGGTTGGAAACCAGAAACAACCTCCAGCAATCAAGACTTTACTGGTTATATAACAGGAGAATGTTCAAAGGAAATATATCCCAACTGCAGAAGAGCTAATGTTCAAATTTTCAAAAATAATAAATGCCCTTAGCTCTTCTGCTGGAATTTGATCGACCAAGAGGCTTCATTTCTGCTTTTTTATGGACTTCCTAGGCAATTTTATCTGCAAGCTTGTTTGTTTCTCTCAAATCTCAATGCTTGTTGAAATTTGACATATAGGCTTGCTGTGATATGTTTGGTTTGCTCAATAATCTTTTGTTCCCAGCATCTAGACTCTTAATTCATGGGTTGGATGATCTTCTAGGAACCAGCCTCACCAATGACGTTTTCCATTCTCTTTGTTTAGCTATTATTAATCAAATTCAGGTCGAATAAATATCTTCCATGTTTATATTACAGTACTGAAATTTCTTTCACTAGCCAGGAAATTCTCAGTAAAGATTTGTTTGTGGACATGGAGGAAGATAATGTTGTATCTCGAACAAGATGATGATTGATTTCCGATATAAGAACTAAGAAGTTAGGAGTGATTAGATGATGGGATATTCTTTAAATATTTTATGAATTAGGCTAGTGAGTTATTGTTTTTTGCTCTCTCTCTATAAATGTGTATGTATATACATATATGAAAGAGTTGTTAGAAAAATATTATTAGAAACTTGTAGCATATATTTACTTAACTATTACAAGACCGATGACAATTACTCTTGAGTAAACAGCCCTAATTGCTACCTGGTCTTTGGCCGAGTAAACTACGGATGAATGGTTTAATTACTTAAGTAGTGCCACTGTATTTTAAATGAGACTTACTGTTGTTTCCTCTCATCTAAGGAAGGAACTTAGTTGGGCACAGGTTGCAGCCAAGAGTACTGCTGGCATCCTTGGGATGATAAGAATTATTTCATTTAGGAAAGAACTAATTCAAGCATTAGCCCCTCAATTTCAAGAAATTTCCGCCTAGTATTTTATTTTCAGTTTCCATCTAAACTTGCCCAACTTCATGAACTTTTTCATCCATGATCATTCTATCAACTTTCCAGAGGAAAGAAATGTCATGAAAGTCGAGGGACCATTTCTGGAATTAGCCTTTACGTTTTAAGAGATCATTTGTACTATTTGTGCTGACTTTTATGTTATCATTGTTACAAAGGTTTTTATGCAATTAATGCATTTCCAACCATGCTCTTCAAATATTTATTCTGTATTCCTCGTACTTATTATCTACCATTTCATTTGTCAGAGAACCAAAATTCTTATTGTCTGAAGCAACCATTCAAAAGGTCCTGTCAGGTAGGCAATCTCCATTGACATTATAAATGCATCACTGACTTTTTCTCTCTCAAGTAATGTCATGTGATTTAATCTAACTGCAGGAAGCAATATAAGTCTAGATGATTTATCTGCCGAAGAACGGAAACTATACCGGAAAGCCATGGCATCAGGAGAGTTGAGCAAATTGATAAAGCCATGGGAGGCAGCCAGAAACTGTACTGGAGGCTCTTTCACATTGTCTGGAGCAAACATGCTCTCCTCCTCTCAGACACATGGGTGGCCCACAATTCGGATCCAGACTAATGGAAGATGTGATATAGGACTTCTCAACCTCGGTGGTTCGGCATTGGTCTGCTTGCTTTGTGATCTCCAAAGGCTGATCCGGTCGGCAGAGGAAGAACTGAGTTCGGGTATTATTAAACAACCCAAGTCTGAAAGGTTGGAGATCAAGAAAAAGCTTAGGTATGCTGCAAGGAAGGTTCATTTCATTATGTGTTGGGTTCATGAGCAGCCAAAGGAAGGTTGGTGTTCCTTAGCCGCGGTTGTCAAGGTGAAGATGAGCCAAACCATGGAATACATTGGAACTGGGGCATGTTTCCGGGAGGGGAAAACATAAAGCGTTCGGAATAAGCAAACACGTCTTTTGGCTAAATGTGGTGTAGTAATATGCACTTATTTGTCTGAATACTTTGTTAGTTACCCCTCTCTAACTACCATAGATTATTTGCTAGACATGAAAAACATATTTTGTCTAGTAGTAGTTATCGTATATGTTAAAGTTTTTGGTAAACATATTTGAATCAATATTTGATGAATGAGTAGCTGTTATAATTGTAATTTCTTCTCCAACATATTGGAATCAATATTTGATGGGTGAGTAGCTGTTATAATTGTGATATCTTTTCCAACATATTTGAATCAATATATGATGGTTGTGTAACATGTATCATTAATTCATTACAAGCTTTTATCTCATGAAGATTGGGACACAATCTCAGTAGCCCTGTGAACAACCTAGGAGCTTTTCGCCCATCTCCACCATGCGGATCCAAAAAACGAACCGAGCAATCAAATTCACATCTTATACAATGTCCAACTTAAGAGTGTACTAGGTAATTATGGAGTGTATAAACTAATTTGTATTCTCTGTAATTATAGTAATAGCATATCAAGATTTATTTAATTTTATTTTAACCCTAAATAGGAGTAAAAATGTTTGGAAGTTCCAAAATAAAAGTACTATATTCATTTCCAAAATGAGTAATTACTGTCAAACTTGAAATTACTACAAAGTATCAATTATGCCAATATGTTGCCATAAATATATATATTGTTAGTTATGACAGTAATCTTTCATGTTTAAAATCTGGTAATATCTAAATCTAAGGGGTTTTCTTCCTTTAACATATTAATATGGCGAGATTTTCTTTTCTTTTTTTATTTTCAGTTATTAAAAGAAATAATGAAAACTTCCCTAAATAAATAAGTTGAATTAAGAAAATATTAATAAGAAGAATATAATGAAAAGTAGGAAAGATAGAGTACTTTTAAAAAAATAAAAAATAAAGTAATAAAGTTAGGGTATAGAAGTACGTATTTTTATATGAAAACTTACTACAATGAAAACTTGAAGAAATAGTGAAAAACTCCCTAAAAAAACGTGTGACAATGAAAAAACAAGAGGGAATACTGTATTATTTATGCCGTGACATTTAAATAGTGCTACAATTTCGGGCCATTCGACTCGAATTGTTTCATTTCATAACTATGAAAATAAAAATAAGATGAGATTTTCTCAATTGTTGTGTATTAGCAAAAAAAAAAAAAACTTATTCAAGAGAAATGCTAGGAATTTGTGGGGTGGCCAAGGGTATGGGTCGACTCCCTTGACTACAGCTATGACTTCAACAGTTATGATGTCAACAGTACACAATAACACATAAATATGCCATTAAAGTCCTCGACAATTCTATCATGTAGATAGTTCTAAAGCTTTAGGGCTAGTTCTGAAGCATTCTGGCTCCTGATAAGACTTGAAAAAATATGAGTCAAATCCGACATATACTACTCTATAAAATGATAATTCGTTGTTAAATAAACGAACAACAACAACATTCAAGCTTTACTTCCAAAAGATTTTGGGGGAGGTAATGTTATACAAATGAACATAAGTAAAAAGACGAAACATTCTTAACTCAATAATTAAAGGTCCATTTCTTTTCACAATAAATATAGACTCTGATGATAAACTCGAACAAATGCCCCGAATAGATGAAACGTTCTGAACTCTCGAGGAATCTGAACGTTCCCCTCAAAGTATACATGAACACACCCCCTTGAGTTATAAGCAATGTCAATGTTTTTTCTTTCTTCTGTGACATAGATAACCTTCCTTTCCCCAGTTTCCAAGTCGATAGAAATCAAAGATGGTACAACATTTGTATTGAACATAAACTCCTCAGCTTTTGAAATTGGGGGCAACAGAATCAAACGGTGGTTCAAAATTCCGATCGGCCTTTCATCTGGATAATGTTGACAGTCTAAGGTTGTATATTTATGCCAATTAAAGTGGTTGTTGTCATCTTCATGGATCAACCAAATCTCAACCTGATAATTATTCTTCATTATTGGAGAACCAAGAAAAGCAATAGTCTCATCAATAGTTGTAAACATACCACATCCGATATGATATGGTAACTCAAGCGTCCCAAATACCTCATCATCCATGTCAAACCAAAGAAGTTGCTCACCATCATTAGGTGACGGAGTTGGGGAGAGTGCCATAACCCGCCAATAGTACCTTCCCTTTACATAAAAATCTTCAATGATATACAAATAATCACATGTAATATTCGTTGCATCAATTTGCCTCCAACACCATGAATCACCAATTCGACTACCAACCATTACGAATGTGTGGTAGACATTCATAACATGAAAGTTCCATAGACCAACAATTTTCCAAATCATGTTCTTACAAAGCCCAAAACCGAATCCATCATTCACAACAATACTGACGGGTGGTTCGTTTGGTGGATAGTGGGGATGTTGGAAGGAAACCTTAAGTGCGGGTAAGGATTTGATTTCTTTGGTGGATGGATTCCATATCACAATGTCGTAAATCATTTCCTTCCCTAATTGAAGGTAAGATGGATCCTCCCTGGCGACAATCAGACATAACATACCATACAAACACTTGATATGCCAAATCCTTAAATTGAAAAGTGGTATGTCTAGGTTTCGACATCCCACCGCATAAAACTCTGATTCTTTGTAAAGCAAGTTTACAACTTTACTTTCATCATTTTCGGACTCTATAACAGCATATCCCGGTTTTGTTTTGCTAATTTCGTAGTGTTTCTGCATGAACTGAAGATCTCCCTTTATCAAATTATAGAAACACTTACAAACACACTTAAATCGCATCAGGGACTTTACGGGCAATTTTGCCAAAACATCAATCAACAAATCGCCAGGTAATTTGCAATTTTCCATTTTGGATTGACAAATCATGTTTTAAGAAATCGAAACGTCAAATCCTTGTGTAATTAACACCGATAAAATTGTACCTTAGATCCACACATGATGGCCACAACAGAAACAATTGAACATCGATGATCGTTAAAGACTCGTGTGTCTACAATAACAAGGTTGCTTAGTTTTTGCTCTAAGCTTCCCTCTCTTGGCAGACTCGGGGATGAAAGCAGAATTTGATGCTCTAGAGATAGCTACGGAGTGGGCCTTAGACGCTGGGTATGAAGACTATCAGGTGAAAACTGATGCTACAAAACTCTTAGCTCTCTTATCTAATGCATTTGAAAGTCGGTGGTCGGTCGACTTTACTGAAATGAAACGGTGAGCAATCATGAAAGATGTTTCCTTTAATTAATCACGCATTCAGACAAGGAAATTGGACCGCATACTTTTTGGCCCAAGATTTTTCTACCCGTTTCAAATGTTTTTCTCAGGTTACCTCTTTACTTAGATTTTTCGGAATCCTCGATTTCCATCATTAATTTTTTATTGCCTCTGGTGTATATTATTGGGCCAAATTCAGCTCCCAAACAATTAATTTCATTATGTTATTCTTATATTTTAAATAGGTATGCTTCCTCTGGAAAGGGTTTGCTCTAGTCTCCCTCTCTATTTGTATTTCCTCATTTGTTTAATAAAGTTTGGCAAATGTTTCCCGACATTACCCCCACCGACTTAGGTGGTTGCCTACCGGGACAAAAAAAGGCGGAACAAGTTTGAAGGAAAACTCTGATGACAGATCTTAGTTTGAAATATGTCGAGATAGTTTTGGATAGATGGGATTAGAGTGTTGGAGTGTTTTAATGGTAGTAAGAGAGGAGATAGGTTTCATGATAACTCAATGCTACATGAGGTCTCAGTGATCATAAAAAATCAACCATTACAAAAAATAACGGGATTGACACAGACTTCGTATGGAACTTTGGAAAAGATTTGTCGAATTCGATCTATGGGAGAGATCTGACACGGTTTTTGCACAGATTAGTGGGTCTCTGTCAAATTCGTCCCAAATTGCATGCCAAAACTGTTGTCACGAGCTATTTGGCATGAAGTCGCGCTAAATATATGTTATGATCCGTGTCAAACTCAATCAGTCTATGCCAATCCCATGCCAACCCCGTGCCAATACCTGTTGTTTTTTTTGTAGTGAACCATACTTTGTGTATCCCAAAAATTTATACGGAGTATAATTTTATACACAGTTTATCCATTTTCAGACGAATTGCCCTTGATACACTCAAAATGTACGAGGATTACAAAAACGTTCACACACAGAACTTTTATTAAAGAAATTGAGAGTTACATGTCATTAATGATATATGACAACTTAATCTTTAATTTAATACCTTTTATGCGTTTGAATTTTAACCTCACCTTATTATCATTTTAAACTCTCTATTTTCTTCCACCTTCTTCTTCTCTCTTCCTCCCCTTCTTAGGTTTGTGCTCTTTATGATGTTTCAATTATTTATTCACCGTTCTTTCACTTTTATATAAATTAAATCTATCAAACTGATTGCTTTTATAAATTTTGGGTATAAATTTTGACGGTTTATGTTTATAATTTCTTTTAGTGTATACCTAATTATATTTATGACATTTTTAATTATGCAAAGGAATCAGGCAATGGATGAACATAAGAACATACGAGAGATAGAAGATAAAAAGTTAAAAGAAAAAAGAAAACGAGAGAGAAAAGAGATGACAAGGGATTTGTGTCCTCTACTTCGTTCTCTCCAAAACCATTTAATTAGTATGTCAACAAATAATTCTATAAATGGCTAGAGTCACAAGGGAAATAATTGCTACGGTAAAAAAGATATTGTAACATTATACCGAGCAACATTTGGAAAACTAGTTACTCCACATGAAAATTTACATTGAAAATTAGGTGGATTATATAAAAAGTATGGAGTAATAAATACTTAATATTTTTTTTTAAATAAAAACATTACAGTCCTCATTTAATAAATACTTAATATTGAATCAATTAACTAAAAACACTTTTATCAAAAGATTAACCATAAACATTAAATAAAATAAGATGACATATTAATAGAAAATTAAAAAGTACTCCGTAATGCTCAAAGTATGCCATCGAAATAAGATGTCACACTAAACTGTCCATTAAGGGAATTACTACTCGCACTATTCTTTTGGACTTTGTTAGCTTTGTTTGTTTGTCCCAAAAAATTTACCACTTTCACTTTCAGTAAATAATTTGTGATTCTCTTTATTTGTGTCTCATCTACACAACTCTTAATCGTGCAGTTTTTACACATTATATTTTACACCTAACACAAATTTGGCAATGGGACAGAGGTAAAATAAACTTCCTTTTATACAACATTCAATGCATACTTGGTTGTTTATCCGTCTTTGTTACATATCACAAATTTCAACTCATATGAACTTGCACTCTCGAGACTCCCCTCACAAATTTCAAATTTCAACCAAGCTTGATAACCAAGAATTTTGATAACCAAGGTAATCTCAACCAACTTTTCTGATCTTCAGTATCCTAACAACTGCAGCATCCACTGCAGAAAAATGAATTGCAAGTGCAGGGTCTGTCCTGTCCATTTCTAGCCCTATGGGCGATACGCTAATCCGCCGGGCTTATATCCAAGAAAAACTGTAAGCCATATACTTATTTTAAATATAAATTGTAATAAAAGTATCTAAAAAAGTTCATAAAATAAAGGTGAGACTCACTTTATTATTATTTAAGTTACATAGTTGTGCAAAAGTAACAACATGAGTATTGAATAAAAAGAAAAAAACATTAAATTAGTTAAAAATGTTTCTCGTAGAACAATGTGAAACAAAACTCATAGACAATCTTCTTTCCACTAATAAATATGAAAAACAATAAAAATACCACATATAACAACACTAAACTTTTTCTTTCAGTTATAACTGAAACGATAAATGAAAATAAATATTACTACATATTGAATTCATAACTTGAAAATGATTTATTGACCGCTAAGAATTGAAATTTTGAAGCCTCGAAAGAATGAAGGTTTTCAAAGAGACAATGTTTGGCCGCCAAGAAGCGTGCCAATTTGTCGTCCGCTTTAACTACTATTAGGAACTCAGATATACTTTATTTCAATTTGGAAACAAATAAATAATGGGGATGAGATCTGGGAGCCATAGGTTCTAAAATAATTATATAAATTTGTTATGTTATAATTAAAATGAATAAAAGGCCTGAAAGGCTAAAGAGATGTGAAGAGTGAAGAGACGTGTCTTTTATTGATCTAGTAACAATTGTATTGCTTTTATAAACTAAAACCGGTTCTACTTAAAATTAGTGTGTATATATTCTTTTTTAAACTTGGTTCTGTTTAAATTTTTTATTTATGTTTTAAATTTTCAATAAAATAAAAAATTAGGCCTAATTAATTGAACTTAAGAATAAAAGAAGAAGCATACTCACACTATATATAAAGAAAAGATTTTAGGCCTATTTTTTCTTTTATATTTTTCGGTTCTAGGGCGGTCGCCCCTGTTGCCCTTCCCCCAGAACCGGCCATGTGCAAGTGACACCCATGTTCTTGAGATTTGACTCAAAATTTTCATCTTGATAAAAATAAACAATCCAATATTAACAGTATATATATACTACTAGCTGGGCTGCGCGCGGTGCGCGTGAATCGTGCCCAATGATAGTAGCTAAGACAATGGATTATGGGTAACAATTTTTTAAACAATAGAGTGTAAGCAATAAGGCAATGATTCAAATAAATTGTAGTATTGTTCAAAAGGAGTTTAATGAAAGGGCGTTGTTGGATGATTGCACTGTTAGCGATGACAGAAATAACGGGCCAGTCAAAACAAACAAAAAGTCATCAGAAAAGTGTTATAACGTTTTAGCGGATCAAGAAGGACCGGCATGGTTGATGATGGAAGAGCTGCAGATTTCGTACTTGTGGTTGTGAATGGGTGGGGATTCTATGCCACATTGCGCCATGTTAATGAGTCTACTTCTACCCCTGCCATACTTGAAGAATGCAATGGTGGTTCGTTTTTTGAGGTCGAAATCCATTTGAAGCTGGCAAAGTATTGGGACGGCTCGTGTTAACATATACGCGTCCTCTGTATCAAGGAGTGCTTGGAAGCTGCCTCGTTGATCGCTGGGTTGGCATAAGAAAGTTTCACAAGTTTGCTGCATTGAAAAGATAAATGTATGATGGGGCTTAGTATTAAATATACATGATAAGGGAGGTAATTTGGAATAGGTGGACAAAGAATACCTTTGCAGTGCAGTTAGGAATATATAAAAATGAGGGTGGGTAGTTCATCTGGCAGTATGAGCAGTTGGGTAAACACGATTCATCGTACATATAGAAAGGGTCTGCAATACATAAGAATACACATTAGTTGGTGGTTAATGTAATGGACAAAAATATGCTGCAGTAACTAAAATTGTAGCTTGCAGGAATACAATGAATAGTGTCAGTTTGAGGGTAAACTGTGGAAAAGTACAATAAGGAAAAGATGAAAATTAGAAAAGTTGTAAAAGGAAGTGAACAGCAGTGGGGGGGTTTGGAGGATAGAAGACCTGCAAGCTGAGGCAATGAAGAACCTCGCTGCAGAAAGTGCTTGATTTTGTGGTCCAGTTCTGTTTTGTTCGTGAACGACATGGGTAGTAATCGAAAGTACCCAGCGCGCGTAAAAAATGTTTTGAATCACCATGTGTTGTGCACTCAGTCTGAGGCGGTTCAGTAGGGTCAATTGTAGCAACAACAATGCATCTCCCATGGACGGTGTGAACATAGTATCTGAAAACATCATTGTCGCTAGCATCAATTATCTTATCAACTGTACACGTGGACAACAAATCCATGATACCTATGAGAACAAAAACAAAAGAAATACTCAAAGTTTGGGACAAACAATCAGTCAATACAAATGTAAGGCAATGTAAATGAATCTATCATATAAACATTACAAGGTTGAATTCAAAATAGGCAACGAAAAGGGTAGTGTACTTATGTGATGCACAAAGGAAGACGCTGAAAATGCAAAACCGCTGGTTGAGTACCTAAATAGAAAAACCACAAAGGCATATTTCAGTTTGAATTCAGCAGGTCATGCCTGAAAATACTCCGGTGAAGGCAAAACATTGTAAAACCAAGCAAGCTTGTCTTAAAAAAATATTTCAACAAAAAGGTTCCAAATGTGTTTAATGAGTGTTTAAAACATATTGTAAAATCAATGGCATAGAAAGGAAGAAATGAAAGAAACATGGTTTGCAGGTTTTAGAAATTTTACTAATTTTGTTTGTTTGGAGTAGGATGGTATT